CGCGGTGCGCGTACCGTTTCGATTGTGTGGTCGGGAGACCGCCACAGGACCCCCCTGGTTGAGGGTGAGCCCGGGTTAGGCGAGGTTGAATCGGACCGGAGGCCTTGATGTCCTCCCGGCTCTGGTTTTGACCTCTGTGGTTGGTTGATCCTTCTGCTCTGTCTTCTCGTCCTCCTTGGCTGTTTGGCTGTGGCTGTCCTCCTCCAAGGTGTAGGCTGGTTTGATGCGATCTATTGAAACATTGATAGTTCTACCATTAATTTTTAGTTTGAAGGTTTTTTCACCTCGGTTTACCACTTCGTATGGGCCGTCATACGGAGGTTGTAATGCTCCATGTGGTGCGTCATGTCTTAAGAACACTCTTGGAGTTGTTTGCATGTTTTTGAAGACAAATGTAGATCTCTGACCATGACGTTTGATTTTCGGGCTTAGCCGATTTATTGTTTGCTTCAATCTCGTTATCAGGTCGTCTGTGTCTGCTTTACTTGTTGTCTCTTGCGTGCTTAGGAATTGTCCTGGTAAGCGGATTGATTCTCCAAACACTAGTTCCGCCGGTGTTGCGTTTAGGTCCTCCTTCCAAGCTGCCCTGATGCCCATTAGTATTACTGGTAATACTTCGGTCCAGTGTGTGTTTCATGGCACTTTATAGCCGCTTTCATCTGTCGATGGAATCTCTCTACCATCCCGTTAGCTGCTGGATGGTAGGCTGTTGTCCGGATGTGATTGGATCCAGTCAAGCGTGTTAATCTTCGAAAGAGGTCTGCTTCAAACTGGCGTCCTTGGTCCGTTGTTATCCTGGTCGGAGTGCCATATCTCGCTATCCATTCTCTAAATATGTGTTTGGCTACTGTTTCTGCCGTTATGTCGGGCACCGGGATTGCTTCTGGCCATCGTGTGAATCGGTCGATGATGGTTAGGCAATACTTGTATTCTTTTGACATTGGAAGAGGCCCCACTAGGTCGACGTGTATGTGTTCGAATCTCCTCGTCGGAGTTCTGAAGTTTCCCACTGGCGAGTTGTTGTGTCTGGTGATCTTAGATCTCTGGCAATGGGTGCATGCCTGTGCCCACTGCTTGCAATCTTTCTGGATCCCAGGCCATACGTAACGCTCTGCTACCATCCTGGCCGTTGCCTTCGTTCCTGGGTGCGACAAACCATGTAGGGATTGAAAGACCTGCTGTCTATATGGCTTTGTCACGTAAGGTCGAGCTGTTGGCGTGGACGTGTCGCATAGTATGGTTGTCTTGCTTCCTGGGAGGGGGATCTCTGTGAGCCGTAGTGATTTGCTGTTCTCTTTTAGCTCTTTCGTTTCTGGTTCTTCCTTCTGTGATCTGGCCAGTGCTTCGAAGTCGATGGCCTGGTGTACTGCATCCACCCTCGATAAGGCGTCGGCTACGACATTGTCTTTTCCTGACACATGTCGTATGTCCGTGGTGAACTGTGCAATATATTCGAGGTGTCGTGTCTGCCGTGGTGAGCTTCGTAGAGGATCCTGGTTGAGGGCGTATGTCAAAGGTTTGTGGTCGGTGTATACCACGAAGTTCCTTCCTTCAAGCATGTGCCTGAAGTGTTTTATTGCCGTGTATATCCCTAGGAGCTCGCGATCGTACGGGCTGTACTTTGTCTGTGCGCGGTTGAGCTTCTTACTCAGGAACGCGAGTGGCTGCCATCCCTCGTTCGTCCTCTGCTGCATTACTGCACCTATTGCCATCTCTGAGGCGTCTGTTGTTACTGCTAGTTCTGTTCTCGGGTCCGGATGTGCCAGTACGGTAGCTCGAGATAGGCTATCTTTGCAGCTCTGGAAAGCCTTCTCCGTTTCCGCTGTTCATGGAACTGGTATTTTGCCTTTCATCTGAGGCCCCTTGAGCATCTCATTCAACAGGGCTTGATCCTTTGCTGCGCCTGGAATGAAACGGCGGTAAAAGTTTATCGTGCCCAAGAATCGTCGTAGCTGCTTTATGGTCTGAGGTTTGGAGAATTTCCGGATTGCCTCTACTTTCTCTGGTAGAGGTGTGGTACCCTCGGCTGATACCAGGTATCCCAGGAACTTTACTTGTTTTACGCCGAATACGCATTTTGTAGGATTGACTTTTATTCCGTATTGTTCTAATCTTTCGAACAATGGGCGTAGGTGGTCTCTGTGTTCTTCTTCCGTGTCAGATGCTACGATGATGTCGTCGATGTAGGCATAACAGAAGTTGAGGCCCCTCAGTATTTCGTCTATGAACCTCTGGAACGTCTGTGCTGCGTTGCGAAGTCCAAATGACATGTAGAGGTACTCAAATAAGCCAAAGAACGTAGTGATCGCCGTTTTTGGTATGTCGTCCGGGTTTACGGGTATTTGGTTGTACGTCCGTACAAAGTCCAATGTGCTGAAGATCCTCTTCCCGTGAAAAATTTGCGCAAAATCTTCAATGTGAGGTACTGGGTACCTGTCGGGCTCTGTCCTTGCGTTTACTCCGCGGTAGTCTCCGCAGGCTCGCCATGTGCCGTTTCCTTTCGGTACCATGTGTAGTGGCGATGCCCACGGGCTTTTTGAAGGCCTTATTATCCCTTCTTGTAGTAGGAGATTGAACTCCGTTTTGGCCGCTTGGAGTTTGTCCGGATCTAGTCGGCGTGGACGACAGGCCTCTGGTTGACCTTTCGTTGTTTTAATGTGATGTGTAGTGCCGTGCCTTCCTAGCTTGGTCTTGGTGCTGGGGTTCATGATTCCTGGATACTTGGCCAGGATATCATGATATCCCGTTTCTATCCTCAGTGTTTTTATTGATGTCAGCTTGCTCGTGCCAGTGGATTCGGGCGCCGCGAGTCCTGTCTGCCCGTCGATTAGCTTCTTATTTCTCACGTCCGGTAGCAGGTGGTACGACAAGAAGTCTGACCCGATTATTGGTACTGTTACGTCTGCGACGATGAATCGCCATGGGTGTGCTCTTCTTAATCCGAAATCTGGTTGCAGAGTGGTGAATCCGTATGTTTCTATTACGGATCCGTTCGCCGCGAAGAGTTGATAAACTCCTGCTTTTCTCTCTCCCTGAGTACTGATGTAGGGAAATACGCTGACGTCTGATCCGGTATCTATGA